CTTTCTCTATTTTATTCATGTAATCATTTAGAGATATAAAATTTCCCCTAAGAACTGCTTTGGCTGCATCCCATAAGTTTTGGGATGTTGTCTCATTATTGTCATTCTCTTGGATGAAGTTATTGTTTCTATGATTTGTGTTTGACCCACTCATTCTTCAGGATTAGATTATTTAGTTTCCAATTAGTTTTTAGTCTATCTTTCCACAGTCCTTCATTACATGTAATTATTATTGTACTGTGATCTGAAAAGGATATATTTAATATTTCTGCCTTTCTGAATTGGATTGTGAGATTTTTATGCCCTAACATGTGGTCATTTTTGTGTAGGTACCATGCCACTGAGAAAAAGGTATATTCCTTTCTATTCCTATTCAATTTTCTCCAGAGGTCTATCATATCTAACTTCTCTAAAATTCTATTCACCTCCTTAACCTCCTTCTTGCTTATTTTGTGGCTAGATTTATCTAGTTCTGAGAAGGGGAGGTTAAGGTCCCCCAGTAGTATAATTTTGCTGTTTCTTTCTTAATTCAATTAACTTCCCCTCTAAGAATCTGGATGCTATATCACTTTGGTGTGTATATGTTTAGTATTGATATTACTTCATTATATATGGTACCTTTTAGCAAGATGTTGTTTCCTTCCTTATCTCTTTTAATTATATCTAGTTTTGCTTTTGCTTTGGGTGAAATCAGGATTGCTACCTCTGCTTTTGTTTTTTACTTCGCCTGAAGCACAATACATTCTATTCCAGCCTTTTACCTTTACTCTGTGTGTATCTCTCTGCTTCAAATGTGCTTCTTGTAAACAACATACTGTAGGACTCTAGTTTTTAATTCACTCTGCTATCTACTTCTGTTTCATAGGACAGTTCATCCCATTCACATTCACAGTTATGATTACTAACTGTATATTTCCCTCCATTGTATTTTTTCCCATTTATACTTTTCTCTCTAGAGAAAAGGAGTCTAGTAGATGGCTTTATTTCTCAATTTTTGAGAAAATTTATGTAGCATTGGTCCTAATTGTTGTAAGTTTGACAGAATTCTCCAGTGAACTCTCACTCAGGACCAGGAGTTTTCACGTGGCAATTTCTTATAGCTAGTTCTATTTCCTTTTCTGAGATAGAATTTTTAAAGATATGGATTTGGTATGCAGTTAGTTTGAGTATTTTATATTTTTGAAAGTATTCCTCTATTTCTTCTGTGTTCTCAGTTTTGTTAACATAGAACTGTGCATAGTAGGTTCTAATGATTCTTTTTGTTCTGGTTTTGTGATTTCTCCTTGGTGGCTATTTTGCTGATTTGATTTTCTGCCACCTTTTTAATCAAGATAGCCATAGGTTTATGAATTGTATTAGCCTTTTCAAACAACCAGCTTTTAGTTCTATTTATTATTTCAATATTTTATTTAGTTTAGTTTTATTTAAGGATGTATGGGATGTTCAAGGAGGACTAGCACCTTCGGTATGAGGGCTTACCAAGCCCTTTAAAGGGTTGCTTGTCCTCCTTTGGTGTCCACCTGCCACTCAACTCTTACTTGTGATTCCAAGAAGCTATAGCACGTACAGTGGCCACACCTTCATAAAACTGTCAGGCCTCAAACTCATTGGTGAATTAGAGGGATGTCTACCCCAACCATCTGAAGACTTCCCTCGGTGGAATGGGTAGATGAGAAAATTTGTTTTAATAGACATGAAGGCAGCTGAAGCAGGCACTGTACAGTACTTCTTATTTAATTAGACATCAAAGACAACAAGCTCATCCACTGCATCATGGACCATTGCCAATTGTCTTGATTTTTGTCTTGCCACTGAATTTTTATGACTCTGGGAGAGTGAGGCTGATGACTTTGTGCAACTCTTCCTCACTTAAATTTGTTTCATGTGCAAGTCAAGATATCACCTGTGATGTCAATGGTCCTCTTTGAAAATGAAGGATAAACAACAACCATTTAGTTTCCAGTTTATGTATTTCTCCTTCATTCCTGTATATCTGCATTCCCAATCAACTGTTCTCTCTTTTGCTTCTTTAGTAAGATCTGTCATTATAGATTCAAATTTTTTTCTATATTTCTAATTATTTCTGCTGTGTAGGCCATAAACTTTGGTTTTATGTTTCTTATTTCTCCTTAACTATTTGAGAACATCCTTCTGTGGTTCCATGTTCTCTCGGGAATCTACAGGATCCTGTTGGCGTATCTGCCCAAGGTCCTTAACAGAGTTTTTTTCCTACTGAGATCTTTGGCAATTTCATTCTTTTTTCTTTTTTGCTCACTTTATGACTCTTGCTTTGATAGGGGTTTCCCTGAAGGCTGGACCTTGAAACTGTCTCAGCCTTTTCCCATGCTGGGGAATTCATTTTTCACCATCTTCCATCTCTGTCCCAAGTGACTGCCACAGGTACATAACTCTCCTCAGCTGAATACAAGTCTTTCTTTCAAGCCTGGTGGAGTCCCATACACCTTGGCACCATTCCCCAATTCCCACTATTCCTTAGTTCTCCAACTGTTGCAACTCTGCCTATTGCCATGCTATTGTTCCAGACAGAGCACATTTACTGCTTTCTGCAGCAGAGGTTGGAGGTGGAGATAAAGTATGTTCTGTTGCAAACCTTTGGGTAGGCTTGTGCAATCCTGCCAGAATATAATGGCTGATCAGGGAGAGAGTACAGAGTAATCATGGTAGCTTCAATGCCTCATCATTCACCGAATGAATGAATGACTGAATGAAGCATTTAAGAGCTTACTAAGCAAAGCACCATGCTAAGTGCTGGAAATGCAAACAGAAAAGTAAGATAGTCCCTATTCCTAAAAAGCCTATATTCTAAGGGTACAGACCATACATATGGAAAGTCCTGGCTTCAAGTCAGATGGCAAGGTCTCAAAGTCTTTAGGATACAGTAGAAAAGGTAATGCTTATTCTTTAATGTAATTTCCATAAATAAAAGCATAGCCATTTCTGATACTGGACCAAGTACCAACAGTGAAAATGATTTTGGTGGCAAGAACTTTCTTTCGGTTCTTCAGTAGTGGCTATAACACCTGCTGGATCAACTGTCAACTGACAGGTTGCATGTTCCCAATGGTTTCTTCCCAAGACAATGTCTGAGGGCACTGGGCTGAAAGCATAACTATTCCCAAAGCTCTTAGTTTCAGGGTCTGAGGTTGTCTCCAGAATGGTTCAAAATTAGGAAAATAATCAACACAATTGTAAACAAGTATTAAAAGCAAAAATTTATTGGATATTTCAAATTGGATGTCCCAGAGACATCTAAATGTCAACAAGACCAAAACAAAACTATCTTTTCCCCCATGTACATTTCTCTTCTAAACTTCTATATTTCAATCAAAAGCACCACTATTCTTCCTGTCACCCAGGTTCACAATCTTGGCAACATTCTTCAACTCCTTGTTCTCCCTCACTCCACATAAATCATTTTCCAAATCTTGCTGTTTTTACCTCCACTACAACTTTTTAGCACCTATCCCTTCTCTCTACTCACAAAGCTATTACCTTATTTCAGGCCTTGATTACACCTCTTGCTTGGATTATTTCAGCAGCTTCCAAATTACTATTCTTACTTCACATTTGTCTCCAATTCAATCTATCCTCCACACAACTGTCAAAGTCATTTTCTTTAAGTGTAGATCAGTAAACATCACTCCCCTACTCAATAAATTGTAGTGTCTCATTACCTCAAGAATCAAATGTAAACTCCTCCATTTAGTTTTTAAAGTACTTTACAACTTTATCATAACATATACTTCCAGCCTCCTCACTCCCCCTTCCATACTGTGCAGTCCACCTAAACTGGCCATCTCTCTGTTCTTTATATGTGGCACTCCATCCTTCACGTTTATGCCTTTTCACTGTCTATTATATCTAGAATCCATTCCCTTTTCACCTCCATCTTAAAGAATCCCTCTCTTCCTTCAAGGTATAGTTGAAGCATCATTTCTTACTTCAAGCCTTTCCTGATACTCTCAACTGCTAGGGTCCTCTCTCAAACTTCCTTTTATATTTAACCATTCCATGTATATACTTACATATACCTTTATATGTCCTTTTGCCTACCCCATTAGAACAAAACCTCCTTATCATTAGAGATTGTTTCGTTTACTGTATTTGTATCTCTAGCTCCTAGCATTGTATCTGACACATCATAAACAATAAATGCTTGTTGATTGATGAATAGTTCACGAGTCGCCAACTGGCATGTTTACATTGACTTTAGTCAGACAGAGAGCATAATTAACTCAAGGCAAAGACAACTGAAATGGCACAGTAAAAATAAATACAGCATCTCTCCTATAAACCTGGAGTACATTTTCCTACAAAAATACAAAGAACAAATGCCTATAGAGTTGACTAGCAGAGCATACGCAAAGGTAACTCATATGGCCAAAGGCAACTTATACTTCCCCCTTCCATGTCATCTTCTAATTGCTTCATAATGCTCATTGTACAGGCACCTTTGCTGGGCGAGTGCCTGGGACACTGAGAGGTTTAAGTGCATTGCTCAGGGTCCCATAGCTAGTATTTTGCAGAAGTGGTAGCTTGATCCAACTTGTTCTGATTTTGAGACTAGGCACTATATTACAATGCTTCTTAGCACAGAGGTATATCATCAAAAATGAATCATCAATAAAGGAGTTCATCCTATCATGTAACAAAGCTAGGAATAAAAATGAACAATGAAGGTGCTATATTACCACATACAAAATGTTAAAAGACCTCAAAAAAGTCCTCTAGAGCATTAAAGAGCTCTATGGTACATTTATACTCGGACATAGGCAAAAATAGCATAGGATGTTGTACACTGCACTGTGGGGAATCTAGATACAGGGAGATCCTAGATTCACTGAACTTTAAGTGGACAGAAGGAAAATGTGAGTAGAATGTGGGTATGAAGCAAAGTGTAAAATTAGCATACTTCAGAAAATTAAAACGTCACACTATTCGTTTTTGTGTGTTACAAAACAACTTACTAAGAAACTTACCAGACAAGATAGTCTGTCAAGCAATGAACCATTAGGCATATAGACATACACCAAACAGAAGTTGTCATTATCACTTGAGAAGCCAAGTAGTTCTACTAAGTTTTCATGTTGACACCTGTGGCAAATAATTTTTAAAGGAATTAAGTGTTTGAAATCTTAAACAGTTAAGTTCAGCTCAAAGCTGGAAAATTTTTAAGGTTAGCTATAAAACAGGGCAGCTAGGTAGTACAGTAGATAGAGCACCAGGCCTGGAGCCAGGAAGATCTGAGTTCAAATCTGACCTCAGACACTTGAGAGCTATGTGACCCTGGGCAAGTCATTTAACCCCCATTTTCCTCAGTTTCTCTTCTGTATAATGGGGACACACTGGAGAAGGAAATGGCAAACTATTCCTTTATCTTTGCCATGAAAATCCCAATGGCAAAGTCCATGGGGTTATGTAGAGTTGGATACAACTAAACAATTGAACAACAACAATAAAAAAACAGACAGCTAAAGAAGAAGTTCAACTTTCTTATTTTTACTTTCTTACTACTATTATCAGTTGCTTTCCTTTTATTTTCTTTCTCTCTCTCTCTCTTTTTTTTTAAGACTGGGTCCTCCTATTTGACCCATGTGGAAATGCAAAGGTGACTCATGGGCCTGATTCCACTTACTGACTGGAACAGGAACTTTGACCTGTTCTGTTTATAACCTAGGTTGGTCTGCCCCTCCTCAGACAATCTGTTAGCATTCTCTCCTGCCCCCACCCAGGAGCTCATAATATTGATATCAGACTCAGTTTGATGACCCAATTGTATTAGCCAACTGCAGCTCACAACTCCCAAGCTCAAGAGTTCCACTAGCCTCAGTGTCGCTAGTAACTGGGATTAGAGAGACATGTACCATAACACCCAGTCCCTTTTCTTTTTTAATAATTTATTATGATATAAATATCAATAAAACAAATTAAACCTCACAATTACTTACATTTGAAGATTCTTCTACTTTTTTAGTAGGCAATAATTCAATAATATAAATAACACAGTTCTATTTTGCATTTTGAAGCAAAAGTTCTTCAGGATCCATTAACTTGGAAATTATGACCATTTAGTCAAGGACTGTGATGATTATCTTTGCTTAGCTTTTTTCTTCATAATGAATATAAGCAAGACTGTGGAATTATTTAAAACCTTTGATCACAAACATTTTAGCCAACCCCAAACAAATGAAAAGCAACAATATTAAAAATACTTATTAGAGAGAGGCAGAGCCAAGATGGTAGAGAGAAGGCAAGGATTTGCCTGAACTCTCCCCTAAACCCTTCCAAATAATTTTAAATAATGACTCAAAACAAATTTTGGAGCAGTAAAACCCACAAAAGGATGGGGTGAAACAATTTTTCAGCACAAGACAACTTAGAAGGTTGGCAGGAAAGGTCTGTTGCACCAGGGTGAGAGTGTAATGTAGTCTACCACGGGCTGCACTGCAGCAAGCCAGCAGTAGGCACTGGGGACAAATGACTCATTGGTGGCAGTGGCAGTTTCTGGACCCCTCAGCCCGCAGATGTGAGTCAGACAGGTCAGGAGATTATAGGGGTCCCTTTGCAGGTACAGGGGTGAGGGGAGCAGGACTCTGTTACACTGCCCACACCTGGATGTGGGTCTCAGTCTAGAGCAAGGAGGAACACTACTAGTGCACCAGAGCTTGCAGCAGCAGGGGAGCCGGGACCCGGGACCCTGGTCATGGTTCCAGGGCAGAAAAGAGTGATTGTGGTCACTCACAGACTACAGCACAAGCCAGGAGAGTAGTAAAAAAAAACCTCTCCCTAGTTCATACCACCTTGGAAGAATAGAAGACTTATAGGTCCCCAGAATTACCTCTGAAAATAGCTGCCCTAAAAACCTGAAGCTTGGCTCAGTGCTCCCCCCACCCCCAAAAGCAGAGACTGACTTTAGTATATGGTTAAAAGTCAAGAAATAGGCTGGAAAAATGAGCAAACAGCAGAAAAAAATCCTGACAACAGAAAATTACTATGGTGAAAGAGAAGATCAATGCACAAACTCAGAAGAAGACAACAAAGTCCAAATTCCTACATGCAAAGCCTCAAAGAAAAATAGGAATTGGTCTCAGGCCATGAAAGATTTCAAAAAGGATTTTAAAAAATCAAATAAGAGAGGTAGAGGAAAATTTGGGAAGAAAAACAAGAATGATGCAAGAAAATCATTTTAAAAAGAGTCAACAGTTTGGTAAAGGAAGCACAAAAACAAAAATACTGAAGAAAATAACAACTTAAAAAAACAGAATAAGCCAAATGGCAAAAGAGACACAAAAATCCAATGAAGAGAAAAATGTCTTGAAAAAGAGAATTGCTGGGGCAGCTAAGTGGCGCAGTGGATACTCACCGGCCCTGAAGTCAGAAGGACCTGAGTTCAAATCTGGCCTCAGACCAAACACTTGACACTTACTAGCTGTGTGATCCTAGGCAAGTCACTTAACCCCAATTGCCTTAAAAAAAAAAAAAAGGGGGGCAAAAAAAAAAAAAAAAGGAGAATTGGACAAATGGAAAAAAATATACAAAAATTTACTGAAGGGAAGAATTCCTTACAAAGCAGTACTGGTCAAATTGAAAAGGAGGTACAAAAGTTCACTGAAGAAAATAATTCCTTAAAAACTAGGATTGGGCAAGTGGAAGCTAATGACTTTATAAGACATCAAAAAACAATAAAATAAGATCAAAAGAATGAAAAAAATTGAAGATTTGAAATATCTCACTGAAAAAAACAACTCACCGAGAAAACAGATCAAGGAGAGATAATTTAAGAATTATTGGAATATCTGAAAGCCATGATCAAAAAAAGAGCCTAGACATCATCTTTCACTAAAGTATCAAGGAGAACTGCCCTAATATTGTAGAACCAGAGGGCAAAATAGAAATTGAAAGAATCCACTGATCACCTCCTAAAAGAGATCCCAAAATGAAAACTGCCAGGAATATTACAGCCAAATTCCAGAGCTCCCAGGTCAAGGAGAAAATATTGCAAAGAGCCAAAAAGAAACAATTCAAACATCATGGAGCCACAGTCAGGATAATACAAGATTTAGCAGTTTCTACACTGAAGGATCAGAGTACTTGGAATATGATATTCTGGATAGCAAAGGAGCTAGTATTACAAACAAGAATCATCTACCCCAGCAAAACTGAGTATAACCCTTCAGGAGGAAAAATGGATATTCAATGAAATAGAAGACTTTCAAGCATTCTTGATGAAAAGACCAGAGCTGAACAGAAAATTTTACTTCCAAATACAAGAATTAAGAGAAAGACAAAAATGTAAACAGGAAAGAGAAATCATAAAGTATTCAATAAGGTTAAACTGTTAACATTTCTACATGTTACCTGAAATTCCTAAAATTCTTCTCATATTATTAGGGCAGTTAGAAGGAGTACAAATTGATAGAAGAGATAGGTGTGAATTGACTATGATGGGATGATTATCTAAAAAAACAAAATTAAATTAAGGGGTGAGAAAGAGGAATACACTGGAGGAGAAAGGGAGAGGTAGAATGGCTTAGATTATCCGACATAAAAGAGGCATGAAAGAGCTTTTACAGTGGAGGGGTTTGTAAACCTCACTCTCATTCGGAAATGGTTCAAAGAGGGAATAATACACACACATTCGGTTGGGTGCAGAAATCTATCTTACCCTGCAGTAAAGTAGGAGAGGAAGGGAATAAGAGAAGGGGGTGGGGAGGGGGAGAAAGGATGACAGAAGGGAAGCCAGATTGGGGGAGGTAAAAGTCAGAAGCAAAACACTTTTGAGAATGGATAGGGTGGAAGGAGAGGGGGTAGGACAAACTGGGAAAATAGGATGGAAGGAAATATATAGTTAATCATAACTGTGAAAAAATTTTACAACCAATTTCTTTGATAAAGACCTCACTTCTCAAATATACAGAGAACTGAGTCAAATTTATAGAAATAAGAGTCATTCTTCAACTGATAAATGGTCTAAGAATGTAAATACGAAGTTTTCTGACAAAGAAATCAAAGCTATCTATAATCACATAAAAAAAATGCTCTATATCATTATTGATTAGAGAAATGCAAATTAAAACAACTCTGAACTACCACCTCACACCTAACATTGGCTAATATGACAGAAAAGGAAAATGACAAATGTTAAAGATGATGTGGGAAAATTGAGACACTAATGCACTGCTGCTGAAATTCTACACTGATTCAACTAATCTTTACAGCAATTTGGAACTATACCCAAAGGGTCAAAAAACCATGCATACCCTTTGACCAAGCAATACTACTATTAGGTCTATATCCCAAAGATTAAAAAAAAAGAAAAGAAAAAGACTTATATGTACAAAAATATTTGTAGCAGCTCTTTTAGTGGTGGCAAAGATCCAGAAATTGAGGGGATGTCCATCAATTGGGGAATTGCTGAACAAGTTATTGTATATGATTATGACAGAGTACTATTGTGCTATAAAAAAAGGATAAGCAAGATGCTCTCAGAAAATCTGGAAAGACTTACATGAACCAATGCAAAATTAAATGAGCAGAACCTGGAGAATATTGTATACATTAGTAGCAATACTGCATACTGACCAACTGTGAATGACTTAGCTATTCTGAGCAATAAAATGATCCAAGACAGTTCTGAAGAACTTATGATGAAAAAAGCTATCCACCTCCAGAAAAAGAACTGATGGAGTCTGAATGCAGATAAAATCACACTTTTTCTTTACTTTATTTTTCTTGTTTTTGAAAATCTGTGTTTTCTTTCATAACACAAATAACATTGAAATGTTTTACATGACTGCACATGTATAATCTATATCAAATTGCTCACTTTCTCAATGAGGGGGGAAGGGATGGGAGGGAGGAAGAGAATGTAGAACTCAAAAATCTTAAAAATGATTATTAAAAATTGTTTTTACATGTAATTGAGGGGAAAATAAAATATTAAAATAAAAATAAAAAATATTAATTATAAATAAATCTTTTCTACCAATTAAAAAAAGTCTTCTAAAAGCTACTAGACAAAAGCTTGAATGAATAAACTTTTTTGTTTTAAATTGAGTTAATGAAAGGTCACAGGATTTCAAGTTAGAAGAGACCTTCAAAATAATTTAATACAACCCTATAATTTTATAGATGAGTAAACAGGCTCAAGGAAATCAAGTGACTTGCTTAAGGTCACATCATTAGTACTTTAAGTAATAAAAACCAGGTCCATACAAATATAGTTCTTTTGCCACTATATAAGAACTGTTTTTCATTATGTACATATTTGTCAGTAATAAAACTATACTTCTTTTATAATATGTAAATATATATATTTAAGATACTATATATGTTATACATAAAATATAGTATATATACTATATAAAATATAATACATGTATACTATATGTAAAACTACATTTCTTTTATAATATCTTCTGATTCATATTTTTGGTTATGACATACTCCCCAACATATCCCCCAACAATTAGGGCCAATCTTTCACAATTCACAATCACTGACAATACTGATGGCCTTTCTGACCAAAGCAGCTATGAAGACCCTTAGATTTCTTTCTTTATAATTCCACGAATTGTGTCATTTATTATCCTTTAAAAATGTCCCCCCAAACTAATTTTCCCTATTGATTTTGCTAAAGCTAAATAAAAGGATGATTCACAAATACTTGCTAGAGAAGCAAAGGAGATAGCAGTGGGTTTTATCATATGCCCAAAAGCTACAAGGGAGATTATTTCATGGGACATTTTAGGTCATCATGAATTGTAGTATTAATGATACATTTTTACACAAAGACCACCAATGAAAATAAGCGTAGATGATGCAACATTAATTACTGAGGATGAAATGGCAAAGAAATTCCATGAAGAACTTACTAAGATTTCCCAAATCAAATCAAAATACACTCACAATACTTGGTGACTTCAATGCAAAGGTGGGAAAAAGCAAGGATGGAAGAAATAAATGGGAAAGTCTGGTTCAAAAGAAAGAAATGAGAAGAGGCCAAAAACTTATAGATTTTCCTGGGTGGCACATGCCTGTAATATCTGCTACTAGGGATTGGTAATTGGTGGATCTTTTGAACTTAAAGAGTTCTGAGCTGTAGTGGGCTAAGTTGCTAGGGTGTCCACAGTAGGTTCAGCATTAATATTATGAGCCCATAAGAGCAGAAGGGCCACTAAGTTGCCTAAAAAGGAGTGAACTGGACCAACTTGGAAACAGAGGTAAAACTCTGCCAATCAGTAGTGGGACTGGGCACATAATTAGCCCCTGAACTTTGAACAGGAGCAAGATAGGGAGACTTAGTATCAAAAAAGAAAAAAAAAGATCATATCCAAGCCTTACAAATTTATATTATGTACACATTGTTTAAACACCAAAAAAAAAATGTTGGTAAGTATTGGACATGGCGAATATCAAATAACATCACAAAGAATGAAACTGACTACATTTTAGTATATAGGAAAAGATTCAACATTAATGTGAGTTATCCTGAGGCAGATGTCTGTGTAACAGACCATCAATTTGTCAGAGCTAAGATAAAATTTTATAACATGAGAAAAAAAAGCAATGAGCAATATAATATATATTATACATTCTAAAAGATCTGGCCCTGATTTAAACAAATTATGGAAAATTAATAAAGGGCAAATGGACAACAGAAATGACAATGACATCAGCTAAAATAATTTCATCCACAAGTTAAACAAATGTAAATTAACAAATGATAAAGAGATAAAAGAACTTTTAATGTACCTTAGTAAATAAATATTTGACTACTTCCCAAATGAAGAGAGATAGATATTAGAGGTAACACATATAAACTCATCTGTAAAATCTAGTATAAGATAATAATGGACTATCATGGGCAATAACACTTCATAAAGCTGAGAGAAGCAGTTAGGAGTAAAACCTGTTTAAAAAATAAAGAACAATCTTCCCATGAATGAAAATGGAAAGGGGATAATGAACACAAGAAAAATGGAAAACGAGAAACCCTTAACTATTTTTTTGTCATCAAGAATAGTGGAACCATCATATTTGTTCCCTAACAACCTGGAACCTGAGGTCCTTTTAGAAGAGGCAGAAAAAACACTAAAGAAAAATAACAATAACAATAATAATAACTAGCATTTATATAGCTCGCTAAGGCTTTAAAATACAATATATGTTATCTCATTTGATCCTCATAATAACCTTGTGAAGTAGGTCTTATTATTATCCCCATTTTACAGATGAGAAAACTGAGGCATAGAGCGGTTAAGTAACTTGTTGGAGTCACAGCCAGTAAGTATCAAAATTTATTCGCCTCGCTCTACATCTTTATTAGGGATATTTGGAGATCTCCTTACTTATAGACACTTGTCCTTGGCAATTCTGAGAGCTTTCGGTATAACTAATAATGGTAAGAATTGAAATTCTATATAATTTCTCATAATACTATTTTAAAATACATGACTGTATATATTTTGCTGATTTACTTATCTATAGTTATACTGATATGAGAATAACAGAATTTTAGTGCTAGAAGAGACCTTAAAGTTGGTTTCATCTAATCCATGTATTTTCATTTTACATATGGAATTTGAGAACCAGAGAAGTTATGTGCCTTAAACAAGGTTACACAGATTGTATCATAGCTATTCTATTCCTACAGAACCTGTATCTCCTGACTTTCATTCTAGCGCTCACTTTTTTTTTTTCCTGGTGCTTGGCTGTTGATTTTTTTTTTTAACTGGTGTTCTTTCATCTACAAAATTGTCTTTTAATACTTACTTTGCCATAATTTTTATTTCTTGGTCAAACTGTTGTTTTAGTTCTTCAGTACACATATCAGCCATCTATAAAACAAAAATATCACCAAATCACATATCCTATAATTAGAAGAAACTTCAGGTAATCATCTGGTCTGGCCCCTATCTGGTAAACAAATACCTGAAGCCCAGACAGGTGAAATAACTTTTCCAAGGTCACAAAGCTTTTTAGTTGGGAGGTGTGGTGGGAGTGGGGGGAGGGGGAATATAAAATATCAATGAAGGAAATTACATGAAAGCAAATTTATGGAACAAACTTTTTCTCAGAGAGTTTCAAATCAGGGACAAAATTATATCACTCTCAGATATTTATGTTTTTAAAAGATCCAGTAGGCCTTAGGGCAATCAGTTATGAAATGTGCCCCAAGAAGCATTTGGAGATATTAATCCAGATTTGCTTACAGCTTTATGTTTATCATGGAAATGTTGCTGTTCTATAAATGTATAATAATAAAGTGAAGTGGAAGACAGTAAACCATTAATGAGCTAGAGATAATGTCAAGAATGTGCCACTACAACCAAGAATGAATTCTAGTTCTTTTAACTTTAATAATGTGACCCATGGATAAAGATCATTAGGCTGTGAATTAAGTTTATTAACAACTAAAACTATAATTTTTAACTTCCTTAATGCATTCTGTCTGTTTTTCTGAGTTGTGACAGTACAAGTTAATAAGAGAACAATTAGTCTGTTTAAAATTGTTCTTATATATAAAAACTATGACATCTTCCACAAAAATAATAAATAATCTAATGCCTCATGATGATGTGGAAGGGATTTTGGATTCTTAAAAATTATGACAGAAAAACATAAGCTTTCATAAGTCCTACTAAACTGGAAAGGTTTTAAGTATATTAAATATATACATATGTATTATTAAGTATATATAGAGAGGTATACTTGATATATTTGGATAATTCATCACTACTTAATAGACTTTCAATTTTTTGTTGTTTTTTAGTTAATGAATTGTGTCTGACTCTTCATGACCCCATTTTTGATTTTTGGTTTGGTTTTCTTGGCAAAGATACTGGCGATTTGCCATTTGCTTCTCCAGCTCATTTTACAGATGAGGAAACTGAGGCAAACTGAGTTAAATGACTTGCCCAGGGTCACACAGCTAGTAAGTGTCAAAGGCTGGATTAGAACTCAGATCCTCCTGGCTCCAGGGCCAGCACTCCATCCACTGTGCCACCTAGCTGCCCCCAAAACTTGAAGTTCCTCCTACAGTGAAAGATGGATAGATGGACTCCATCTCTGTAGTCTGAAAAGTCACCTATTTAAATTTGAAGAAACTTAACCAGAGTGATAGAGGATGATTTTGATGGGGGGAAAGAGGAGAAGGAGGCCTGGCTACAATCACACTGATGAAACCACAAATCATTACATTGATAACCAAAGAAGAAACCATAAAATACTGCAATGTTAACAATTATCTTTTAAAATTTTTAAAGTGTTTTTCCAATCATGGATAAGTCTATTTATATCAGAATAATTACTTTTTTCTTATCATTTTAGTCACAGAGACAACTCATATTTACATTGTGCTTTAAGGTTTACAAAGCACTTTCCTCACAACAGGCAATGCAAGTATTACTTTCTTAAGATGTTAAGTGATCGCCCATAGTCAGAGAAATAATAAATGTTGAAGCCAGATGTGAACCTAATTCTCCTGACTTCAAGTCCAGCACCCTTTCCTATACCACACTGCCTAGCATATATAAAGTAAGGTTTTGGGTAATGTTCACTCAAGTGAGTAAAAGCAAACCATGCTTTCAATTTACTCCAATGCAATGAACAAAATGATTGTCTAAAATTGTTACTTTTCTGGGCATGGTGGGGTCTGTAAGAGTCTGAGGCTGATGGATTGCTTAAATTTAGGAGTTTTGAGTTACAGTAGGGATAAAACTAACTGAGTTACAATAGGGATAAAGCATAATAAAAGCACTATTATGGTTTGCCCTTCCAAGTGGGAGGCCAGTAGACTGCATAAGGAGGGAGTAAAACAACTGAGACTGGCAATTGAGCTGAGTTAACAACTCAGAGCTCAAAGTTTCCATGTCAATCAGCAGGAGGATTGGCCTGTGAGTTGGCTGCTGTATTTCTAGACTATGCAAAAAAAGGAGACCCAATCTTAAAAAAAAAAATCTCATTACAAAATGACCATCTAATTTCTCTTACAGGGAATGATAACTTACAGTTGTAAGTTTCTTCACTGCCACGGTTCTGTTATTGATATAGCCTCTATATACAACTCCAAAGCCTCCCTCTCCCATTTTGTTTCCACCAGCTGATATAGGGTGCTCATCAAAGTTATTTGTAACACTTTTTAATTCATAAAATGAAAAACTCTGAAAACCTGCAACATCAATGAGAGGAAAAAAGTTCATTAGATAAAGAAAAATTCAGAGTTTACAGATAATCAATGAGTTGTTCCAATTTAAACACTAACACTGCAGGAATTGCTCCTTATTGACCTTATATAGGAAAAAAAGATTAAAATTATTATATCAAAACTCTAAGTTAGTATGTATTTCCAACAGACTTAATGGAGAGCATGCATAATTCCCTCACACACATACACATACTTAGACAGGTACTACTGAGTCTGATCACACACTCGTAAGTTACTCCAACTTCAGTCAGCTATTTGAGTTCTTGCTATATATTTATACTTATCCTCTTGTTATCTATAGTGATCTATTTTGATAATTTATTACTCCTTAACAGACTTGCAATTTTTTGTTGTTTTTTAGTTAATTAGTTATATCTGACTCTTCATGACCCCGTTTTTGATTTTTGGTTTTCCTTTTTTTTTTTCTTTTTGGTGAGGCGATTGGGGTTAAGTGACTTGCCCAAGAATACACAGCTGGTAAATTTTTTTTAAGTGTCTGAGGCTAGATTTGAACTCAGATCCTCCTGACTTCAAGGCCAGAGCTCTATCCACTGTGTCACCGAGCTGCCCCAAATGAGATGCTTTGACTTTTTTTTTTTATCCCACTCAGAATTTTATTTGAGGCTTTTTTTGGGGGGGGGTTGATTTTCTCGGCAAAGACACTGGTGGTTTGCCATTTCTTTCTCCAGCTCATTTTACAGATGAGGAAACGGAGGCAAACAAGGTTAAATGACTTGCCCAGGATCACATAGCTAGTCAGTGTCAGAAGCTACATTAGAACTCAGATCCTCCTAGCTCCAAGGTCAGCACTCATCCACTGTGCTACCTAGCTGCCCCCAAAACTTAAAGTTCCTTCTCTAAAATTAACCAGTTAGCTTGAACTCCACTTTAATTTGTATTATTCAATAAACTAGAGAAAAAACTCATTTCCCATTAGCTATTTAAATAAATATTAAAATTACTGAATATATAACTTAACAAATAAGAGCAATTATAAACAGACATATATATATATAAAACAATTTACAATATTTTGGCTATGACCAATGGCATCATCAGTGAAACTTAAAATCCCTGAAGTAAGAACCCCAAAACATGACAATATTGTAATTAATTGGTTTTCTGTAATAAAAAATTGTACTAAAGTATAAAGGAAAAATCACTTTGTTGTTGTCATTTAGTTGATTAGTTGTACCCAACTCTTTGTTGACCCCATCTTCGGTTTTCCTGGCAAAGACACTGGAATGGTTTGCCATTTCCTTCTCCAACTCATTTTATAGATGAAGAACTGAAGCAAATAGAGTTAAGTGACTTCCCCAGGGTTACAGAGCTAGTAAGTGTCTGAGACCAAATTTGAACTCAGTCTTCCTGACCCCAGGCCCAGTACTCTATCAACTATGCCACCTGCTGCTGAATAATGAAGTCTGTAGACTGGATAATAATGGGAAATAAAGACCAGAGGAATGAAGCAAATAGAAAAAAACAAGAGAAGTGTCAGATCAGAATATGGAAGGGGCAGTTTTGAAGTGCTTTAATCAAAGTCCACTGAGTGATATAAAAAAAAAAGGAGAGAAGAAAGTTTAAGCAAGTAGGGATGAGACAAGAAGGAAAACTGGGGTCTGTTTGCACTGAAGGTGTGGCAGGTTTGAAAGTAAAGGGTTTTAGAGTTTTGGAAAAAGGAGGTCTGAGGAAGTTTTGAGAAGATTTGAGGAATTTTTAGAGAAATGCCTCTTTGACAAGTACTGTATGTCTCCCCCAATCAACATATTCCCTTCCCCAAACAATAAAAGATTACAAGAGAAATTTCATAAGACTCTGAAGTAAATATTTAACATACATATTAACTAATTTATTGATAGAGAATATTGTTTTTTTGGTCTGGTTTAAATAGCTATGTTAAAGGTCTTGGTAAAAAAAAAAATTACTAAGTAGCTTTTCCTGCCTGGGTTACTAAAATGCTTCAGGGTAAGGAGAGATGTGCCTTTTATCTGCCCTCTTAGTACACTAGTAGGATTAAGTTAGGAAAATAAAAGCAATTGATTTGGCTCTTTGGGTTATTTTAAAAAATAAAGTTATGGGGAACTGGGATTGCCATCATAAACTTTTTGAACATGGGCTAACTGAAAGCCTGGGGAAAATGAGATTTAAACACTGACATTAGTAATTATAAGCCAAGAATTAATTTGGTTGAAATTTTTGTTCTGAAATTAAAATATATTTGTGTCATTGAAGGAATTTGGTAGGACTTGTTCTTTACCTATTTTTCAAACAGTTTATATTTGTTGTTGTTCAATTGTTCAGTCATTGTCCAACTCTTTGTGAACCCATGGACTACAGCATAGCAGGCCCTTCTATCCTCCATTATTTCCTGAAGTCTATTCAAGCTCATGTTTGTTGCTTCCATGACATTGTCTATCCATTTCATCCTCTGCCACCCCCTTCTCTTTTTGCCTTCAATATTTCCCAACATCAGGGTCTTTTCCACTGAGTCCTGTCTTCTCATTATGTGGCCAAAGTATTTAAATATTTGTCAGTATTTGTCCTTCCAATGAATACTTTGAATTGATTTCTTTAAGCATTGACTGATTTGATCTCCTTGCTCTCAAGGAGACTCTCAAAAGTCTTCAGCACCACAATTCAAAAATGTCAATTCTTAGTTCAGATCTGGCCTCAGACACTTACTAGCTGTGTGACCCTGATCAAGTCATTTAACCCTGTTTACCCCAGTTCCTCATCTGTAAAATGAGCTAGAGAAGCAAATGGCAAACCAATCCAGTATCCTTGCCAAGAAAACCCCAAATGGGGTCACAGAGTTGGACATAATTGAAAAATAACAACAAACAAAAAAAATTCAGGTAGTCCAGGGATTCTTAAGTTATTTCTCTTTGATCTATTTTCCAGGTAAAAAAAATTTTTTCCTATGATATCTGACATTTTCTTCTACTTTACTTATAGTTTTACTTATTGTTTCTTAATGTTCATTAGCTTCCACTTGGTCAATTCTAGTTTTTAAGAAATTATTTTCTTCAGTGAGGTTTTGTAGCTCTATTACCAATTTCGATTTTTAAGGAATTACTTTCTTCAGGATTTTTGTACCCCTTTTACCAAACTGTTAATTCTTTTTTAAATTTTCTTGCATAGCTCTCACTTTTCCTCCCACTTTATCTTCTAGTGCTCTTATTTGATTTTTAAAATCAATTTTCTGCTCTTTTTAAAAATCTTTCTTTAGTTCTTTTAAGAAGTTTTATTGAGTTTCTGTGTAATTTGTTTTTGGTTTTATTTTGTTTGTTTATTTGAGGTCTTGCTCGTAGATATTTTCAAGTCTTTGTCTTTTGTGTTTGTGACTTGAGATTCCCTGTCAGCATAGTAGAATCTTTTATGGTCAGGTTCTTTGTTGTTGTTGTTGTTGTTGTTTTCATTTTTTTGGTGAGGCAATTGGGGTTAATTGACTTGCCCTGGGTCACGCAGCTAGTGAGTGTCAAGTGTCTGAGGTCAGATTTGAACTCAGGTCCTCCTGACTCCAAGGCCAGAGCTATCTATTACCCACTTAGCTGCCCCTCTAGCCTACTTATTGACCTTGGATTTTATATTTGTGTTGGGTTCTTCTCACCTGTTGGGGGAATATCTATATTGAACTTCTGTCTTATATGCCCTTCTGCTGCATTCATCACTCATTCTGGGGACCTGTAAGTTTTCACTACTTCCAAATTAGTGTGATCCAGGGAGAGAACTCTTCATTGCCCTCCTAGTTGGTGCTTTGAAAATTCCTGACCTGGTTTTAGATCTGTTAGTATGTTGAATTTCTGTATACTGGGCTGGACTCAGTCACAGTTAGTCTGCTAGGAGGTTCTGTAGGTTCTGGTTTTGGTCTCCCACCCTGGTTTATTAGACTGCAGGCTAACATACAAGTTTAGAACTGAGTCCCCACTATGTTCTTGGGCTCAGAGCCACACAGGTTTCTGAAACTTATTCCTTGTTCCCTGCTTGGGCAGGGCTCTGCTCCCTCACAACTACAACTGCTCTTCTCCACCCTACAACTTTGACCTAGAACTAATAATGGGCAACAAAGCTGCCAGATGGCACCTGTTCCTGTACCAGTACAGAGGTCCCCTAGGATCTCTTTCTGCCCAAGCGTTCAGAACCCTTACCATCCTTTGGTGCAGGGCTGCTGCCCACTGCTACTGTTGCAGTCACTGCCTGCTGTCACTTTCGCCTACTGTGCATTACTGCTGCTACCTGAGTCTGCAGACCTGTCTGTCTTCCTAAACTGCCCTGGGCTGGAAAATGACTCATTGTGACTTTTTCTTGGTTTTCTCAACAGAATTTGTTTCAGTGCATTTTCTACTTTGTTTTGGATGAGTTATGTTGGGAGAGCTAAGCAAAAATACTGCCTCTTAGTCTGCCACCTTGACTCTGTCCCCTTTAGTTTCCCTTTCATAGATGCCTAAACTCTTTTACTAGATCTATAGACCATAATTCTTTTCGCTATTAATATCTTCACTTTTGGTTTATCTGCTAATACTTAAGGTCTTTGAGGTTTTTTTCTTCTGAGATCTTTGGTAATTTCAGTCTTTTTTTCCCCTCATTTTCTCCTACTGATCACTGTCTGACTCTCTCCCCTCTGAGGGCAGTATCCTGGATTGGGAGTAGGGGAGTGGGAGGGGGAAAAGATCTCAAAGTGTCTCTGCCTTCTCCCATGCTGGACAATTAATGGTTCATCAGTACTGATCTCTGTCTAAAGTAACTTCTTAAGGGAAAGAACTGGTCCCAGGTAGATGTTAGGCTCTTTCCCTCAGGTTAGTAGAGTGTCACATAGCCCTCTATACACATGTCCTGCCCCATTTCTTCTTTTCCTCAGATCTCTGGTCTAGTGACACAGAGAGATGTCATGATGCTACTGCAGCCTGAGAAAATTTCTGCTATTTTTAGATTTGGATCTCCATTGCACCAGGAAAAAGGCACCATCAGGTGAGGTGAAGGTAGATAGTTGAGCTTTATCACAGCCCAGACACATGTCTTGCCCCCTTCTCTCTCTCCATGGCACTCAGAGGAGGAAGAGAAGGTCAGGGTATGGAGCTAAATTCTGTTGAAAGCCTAATGTGCAGCCTTACTGCTGGAGTGTGGTAGGGAGTGGAGTTTCCTTGTTTGGTTTTTGGGTGTCCTAAACCATGGAAACAGATGAAGCTACTTTCTCTAGTGCATTATTTTCTATTTTATCTGAAAAAATATCGATTTTTGATACGATTTTTTTGAGAAAGCAGTGCCACCTCTCTGTGATCGCTACTTCTTTTTCTAAATATTTACAAATCATTCTTTTGATGATACATTCTAGACACAGCCCTTCTTAAACGACTCACATGGGGTCACAATCCACAGTTTAAGAAGCATCGAAGGGGCAGGGCAGCTAGGTGGCGCCTGAACAGAACACCAGCCCTGGAGTCAGGAGGACCTGGGTTCAAATCCAGCCTCAGACACATAATACTTACTAGCTGTGTGACACTGGGCAAGTCACTTAACCCCATTGCCTAAGAAAAACAAAAAGAAGAAGAAGAAGAAGAAGCACTGAAGGGGTTGCAAATGGAAAAAGTTTAGGAAGTCCTGTTTGGCCAGAAATTCAAGCCAAGATCACTGGCCTATTTAAAGCTTACAGATTCTATTCTCTTCAGTTTTCTTTCTTTTCTTTTTCATAAAAAAAAAATACTTTTCTAGTCCTACAGAAACTTCCTCATTCTCCTCAACAGTTCAAAGAAAATTTTTGTTATAATGAGGATTTCTTTTATATATAAGTTGAGCTAGATGGTCATTGAGGTCCCTTACAACTCTCAAATACTCCGCTTCTGTGACAATGGTTCATCAATCACAGCCCATTAGTTCTTTCAGTAGCCTGGGATATAGTTTGTCTCAGTCTAGTTACTTAACTTATTCAGAAGTAGATAAGTGTTTTCTTACCATCTTCTCATCTCCTTAAAGAGAGTATTTCAACAAGCAGAGATGGGAGTGTATTCAAGGCATGAGAAATCAAAGGTCTAAAACTGGAAGGGACCTCAAAGACCATCTTCATCAATGCTCCTAACCTGTATTTTACAGATGAGAAAACTGAAGCCCATGGTGTTTAAGTGACTTGCCCAGGATCACACAAGTAGTAAATGTTAACTACTTGGGACATGTAGCTTATCTGAATATATGAAGGCAAAAGACTGCAAGGAAAGTTTGAGAAAAAGCTATCAGCCTAGATTGGCTAAAATCCAAAACTTATAAAGGAGAGCAGTATGAAAGAAGGCTAGAAAGGTAGACTGTAGACACACTATAGATGGCCTTAAAAGTTAGGCTTAGACATTTTATTTATCCTAAGGTCTTTGAAGTTAGTGGCATCATACCTGTAAATTAAAAATATTATTTTAGCAGCTTCATATAGGCATGATCGGAAAAAAGAGAGACTATAGGAAGGGACATCTATTATGTAATACCAGAGAAGAAGAGATGAGGACTTGAGTTGGAGTAGCAATAGTGGGAATAGAAAAGAAGGGATAGAAACAAGGGATAATGTAGCATTAGAACTGAAAAGACCTGGTAAATGTTTAAATATCTGGGATTCAAAAGGAAGAGTCAAAGATTATACTGAATTTTCAGGCCCAGTTATCTGGGAACACCATGCTGCCATTAAAAGAAATTTAAAAGCTACAAGGAGAGGCAGGCTTAATTTATAAGAAAGATAATAAATTTAGTTTAGGACATACTAAATTTGAGTTGCTAATGGGGCATCTAGTAGCAATAGCTAAAAGACAGAGCTGTGTGATTCGAACTCAGGGAAAAGATTTGCACTGAATATAATTAATTAAGAGTCATTAACAGAGAGGTAACAACTGAATTTAGATCAGATGAGGTCACCAAGAGAGACAGACCTAAGCTAGATACTTGGGGGACATCCAAACTTAGGAAGTGAGAAGATGACTATGAGCAACCTAAGGATATCAAAAAAGAATAATTAGGCAGATAGAAAAAAGTATCAGAATATTATTTTTAAATTCACAAAATACACAGGATTATAAAGAAAACCAATTATATCAAAATAAAGGTGTCTATATATATATATGTATGTATATTTTCCCTTAAAAAGTTCAGTCTCTAAGTTAAGAACCTCTGAGGATGGTACCTGGATCAACAAAGTATATACCTGGGTACTTAGCAAATATATCAGGATGAAGACATGTACCCCACTGTTTGCTTCCAATATATCTTTAATAGTCAACAAAATAATTCTAAATTTAATTCTAAATAAGTATGGCTACTTCTATTGCAAATTCAACACTGGAAACCAACAGAGATCTTTGTTAAATTAGGTTTTTCAAAGTTACTTACATGTATCACTAACTTCTAAACTTTTCATGTCTGGTCTTGAGGAGTCCAGAGGTGAAGAGATTTGTTCATGATTCTGAATAAATCCAGGTTTCACATGTGTCTTTTCTTCATCACAAAAAGGTAGCAATTTCTTTTGAACAGCTATTTCTTCTTGTGGGAGTATATGAACATTTTCTGGAACATTATCTGCAAAGTTAACTAAGATATTTTATCTTTCCCTTAGAGAAAATGAAGCAATTGATATAGCCCAGCACCACCCTGCTCCACTTAACATTAGTACAATTTTGACATTCTATCCCCCAATAAAACAGCAGGCATAACAAGACAGCTGATAAGGATTAAGATGTATATGAAAGCTAGTGAAAAGTAAAAAGAGCAGTCCATGTTTTAATGTCATAGGGGCTGAGGTTTGGGAGATGAAAATTATGATGGCAAAAGGACATTTAATTTCCTGATACATACAGAAATGCAAACTGATAGGTTTTTTGAGGGCTGTATCTATTTGAACCTCCCATCACTGCAAGGCCACCTGCTCTTGCTTTCAAGGACTAGAGATGGCAACATCTATAGAACTCTAAAATGGAATCATGGACCTACTAATTTAGCATTCATTGTTCTTTGCCAACCAAAAGATTGGAAAAAAGCTAAAAACAAAATACTTTTTCTTTCCTATGAGAAAAAGCAAGAGAAACGAGAAATGTTCCCATTTCTGCATCTTCCATATCAAATCTTGAAAAACTGTACCTGGCAGCAACAGGCGTGCTGGGGCTAGAAATTCATTTCTGATTAAAAGATCTACAAGGTCTCCGACTGTACAATTTGTGGTTCCCCAGTCAAAGAGTAGTTCACTAGTGGGACTCTTTCCAGTTTGAAGTAATCCTTCAAATCTCCTTGAAAGAAAGTGAGTCAAAAAAGTAAAATCAATCTCTAAATAAAACTGAGAACTTTTAGAGGCAATATAAATATACTAAGAAAAGGAACTGGGAAATTTCATTCTCCTGAGATTTTAAAGCAAATATTAACTCTCATTTAGCTTCAGTGTAGTCTGGTATAGAAGCAAGATATGTTTATACACTACTTACATTCCCTTTGAGACTTATGAAGCAGTGCAAATTCAATCTTTAATTTAAATTAATGATTTAATTTAATTTAAATCAATATCATGGAAAACATATACGCCATGCTATGTGCCTTTCTTTTGATCTTCACTACTATCATTTGTTTATTTACATTAAAAATGGAAGCATCAAAGCCAAAAATTTTTTCTATTACTTCTTAAAAGAGATTATTTTCTTGAGAATGGTGATTTTTAAAAATCTGAATCATTACAAATGTTGACTAGCAATTTATGTATACTACCTGTTTTATAAATTTTAATTCAAGATTCATTCTTAAGAATTTCATCCCTTTATTTATAAATTTTATTTTTCTGAATGTAGTGATAAGGGAGTCAGTACAATCTCCTGTTCAGGCTTCAAGTTCTTTGGCATGTTGGCTTTTCATCTCTCTCTCTGCTTTCGCCTATATAATCCTACTCTTCATTTGTACCATGACCTATAAACCCTTAACCCCTCAATTCTCTCCCAGGCCTCTCCTCTGCACTAGCCATTCTTCTATTCAGCCCATTGTGACTCCTTGGTGAACCAATTCAACTCTATACTGTCCTCCCCTCTTGAATCCCTATCTCCCTTATCATATCTCCAATCACACCTAGCCAAGCCTTGGATCACTCCCATGAAAATCATGCAACTGATCTGACTGATGCAACTGTACACTACAAATTTGTTACAAAACCTCAACTGGGCCCTCACTGCTGCTAGACAATGTTGCTATACCTCCCTGATCAATTCACTATCCCACTCTTCACAGTGGCTCTTCCAAACTTTTTCATTTCTCCTCAAAATTTCCACAGCTCATCCTCCCCCACTCTCACAGATGAGAACCTTGCCTCATATTCTACAGAAAAAAAATTGAGGCCTTATCTGTGATCTCCATCTTCTCTCTTCTTCTTATCTCCTATTCCTCAGATGCCTTCTCCAAATGCCTTTCAAACATCTCAAATTGAGGGTCCAATAGACATCTCAAATTCAGTAAGTCCCAAATAGAACTCATTATTTTTTCCCCTAAATATCCCTCCTCCTACTCCTACCTTCCCTATTATTGGAGAGGGCAACACTATCCTCCCAAGGTTCCAACCTAAAAGTCATACTGGATTACTCACTGTCTCTCACCCTCTCATTCAATTTGTTGCCAGGGCCTACCAATTTCACAGTTGCAACATCTCTCACATGTGCCCCTTTCACTTCTCTCCTCTGACACTGCCACTACCTGGTGTAAGCCTTCATCACCTCATGTCTGGATTATTGCAATAGCCTGCCAGTGGGTCTGCCAGCCTGCTATCTCTCTCCACTCCAATTTATCCTCCCTTTTCCTAAAATGCAAATCCAATCATGTCACCCCCTACACTCAATAAACTCCAGTGGCTTCGTATTGCCTCCAAGATCAAATACAAAAAGCTCTATTTGGCATTCAAAGCCCTTCATAACCAAGCCCCCTCCTACCTTTCCAGGCCTTTTATAACTTACTCTTCAACATGTACTCTCCAATCCAGTGACACTGGCCTTCTGGCTGTTCCGTGAACAAGGCTCTCTCTCCAGTGATTTTCTCTGCCTGTCCTCCACTCCTGGAACACTCTCCCTCCTCCTCTCTGACTTCTGACCTCCCTGTCTTCCTTTAAGTAGCAACTAAAATTCCACATTCTACAGGAAACCTTCTCTAACCTCTTTTAATTCCAGTGCTTCCCTCTGCTAATTATTTTCTATTTATTCTGTATATAGCTTGCTTTGTATGTATTTGTTTGCATGTTGTCTCCTTTGTTAGATTGTAAGCTCTTGGAGGGCAGGGACTGTTTTTTGCCTGTTTTTGTATCTCTGGCACTTAGTACAGTCCCTGGCACATAAGAGGTGCTTAATTAATGTTTACTGGCAGATTGAAAACCACAGAGAAGCTTCTCTTTCTCTCTATTGATCACGATGTACCTTTTGTGGCCACACTGACTGATAAAAATAAAAGCCACACTTGCAGATCACAGCAATACCAGGACTGAAGAGTCAGCTAAGAATAATTTACTTAGAAGGCAAATTGTATAAAGGTTTTATAGACATAAAACCCTATAGGCAATAATTTAAGGGAGTTGGGGATACTGTAGAAAGAACAATGACTCAGGTGTTCTATCTATTACAAAGGGCAAGTTACTTAACCTCAGAGATATCTTTATTATCCTTAAGAAGACTTTCCTTATCTGCAAAACAGGAATGATAACACCTAATAATACTTATACCAGAGTGCTTGGGAAGATCAAATGATCTAATATACGTAAAGCACTCTGCAAACCTTCTAGTGTAGTACAAACAGCAATTAATATCATCACTATTAAATTCATGCATTTTGATATGTCCTTAGCTGATCAAGCATTGACTCAATGGCATGGATGAGCATCTTAACTTCTAACCAAAGATTCTATATATAGTATCACAATACTAAGTAGTATTTCAAGTTTAAATGTTAGGTACCTAAGCAAAAATGTCAACATTCTCCCCAAACCTCCTCCTTTGTGGCCTATTACCTGAAATGCAGGACCTACAGTATTTGGGTATTTGTGGATATTTATAACTATGTAGTCAGGAAATCCCCTAATAGAATACAAGCTCCTTGAAGGCATTATGTTATTATTGTTTAGTCATGTATCCCACTTGGGGTTTGCCTGGCAGAATTACTGGAGTGGTTTGCTATTTCCTTCTCCAGTTCATTTTACAGATGAGGAAACTGAGGCAAACTGGGTTAAATGACTGGCCCAGCATTACATAGCCATAACTGAGGTCACATTTGAATGCAGGTCTTCATGACTCCAGGACATTGTGTCACCTAGTTGCCCCTCCTTGAAGGCAAGGACATTCCTAGCACTTAGCACAGTGCCTGGCATATAGCAGACACCCAACAAATTCTTTTTGAATGAATGTACTAATGTATATGTTTTGATATAAGAATTATGGTATTTTCCAAAGGAAGGGACTTTAATGCCTTACCTTATATGAAATTGGTTATATCTACTATCTCCAGAAGGCTTTTTTATATCAACTGCTAACTTCTTCCATCCTTCCTGAGGATCAATAAAATCTGCCAGCTGTCTAATCAGGCCAACATTTAGGCACCTTACATATGTTGATGAAGTTATTGTTTTGTTCATCTTCTCTTCATAAGTTTCTCATCAAATATTTATATTCATTTATATAGTTTACGTTTAAAAGTTCACAGATCCACTCTTTTCCAGTTCACATAAAATGCCAGAGCAACCTAAAATCCTATATAAAAACAAGAAACATGAAAATTCACATTTACTAACAGCATTTCTTTATTAAAATGTAAGAAACCTGGAGGAAAATAATGAAACTAAACTCTATATAAAAATGATAACCCTGAAAAACAGAGGAGAAATGCACACCTCTCCATTCTTTAAGCATGTGGGGGACTACTGCATATACTATAAGACTGAGTTAATGTGCTTGTTAGTTGTGTTGAATTGCCTTTTTCCTCTTTTTAAAAATTTTTTGTTACAAGGATGGTTTGCTGGAAGGGGAGAGAACAGGAGAGGGACTTATTAAGTAACAAAGGTCATATAAAACAAAAGATCTCAATAAAATTTTAAAATATAAGTAATAACACACATGCAGCTTTCAAGCTTATTTTAAAGGAAATTAAAATACGACCTATTTCTGATGTACCACAAAATAAGATTTCAAGAAAAAAAATAAAATCATATTATATCTGAATAATTAACAGTTGCCCCAGTCTCCCAAGATTTACTAAGTCTAATCAAATGGACAAATTTATTATGGTCTTAATTCTTAATTATGGTAAATGAGAAAAAAAATTTAGTTTTTCAAGAAATCTAACATGCATCAAAGCTGTAATCCTTCTAAAACATACTGTGAATATATTTAGGAATCAGATTAAGTAATGCAAAAATGCTCCACCTTTATAGCTTTCTATTTTACCTTTGAGCCATCACTCTCACTTAATCCTCATCTACCATTAAAAGCATATAAAGGGAATGTAAGGGAAGCTCACCTAAAGACATAGAACCCAAGAACTCGCAGCATTTCGTATCTCTATGATGCGGTTTAGGAGTACAGGGACCCAAAACTATTGAGGAATGGGGCAGAGTCATCTGGAAAGAATTCAAGGACTCAATCTTCTAGTCAAGTGGCAAAAAGTATATTATAATGCTAATAAAGCGGGCAGAGCTCCTTAGGGGAGGTAGGTCACTTTCACATAGAACTTACATAAATAAAAATAACATGCAATTCTTGATTTATGTACTATCCATACTTATAGAATTGTCAGTTATATTCACATGTACCAGGACCAGCTAAACTACGAATGCAACAATTTATTTCATAACGTTTGGTTTATGATTGCTATGACCATTCCCGCTGGACATTTGCTTTTTATAATTTTTTTAACTACAAGTACCATCCCTCCTTTCTGAATGTCAACAAATTGCCCATTATTTGCTAAAAAATGAATGTATTCATCCCCACATTTGTAATTACCTCCCTTTTCAACATCCTTTAAAATATGGAGAGATTTGCTCAAGAAAATTAAATGTTAAGTCAGAATTAAATGTTAAATCTACGAACAAACTTTGGTACCTTTCTTTTTAGTTTTGTCAGTGGTAGTGAGTGGAATGTCCCTATGAAGACTTCTCAGTGTAATTAAGGTTTAGGATAAGATTATCCTGAATTTGGAGATAAGTTCAGGAAGCAGAATAGGATAAGTATAGATTTCTATAGTTCCCCCCTTCTCCCAGTGTTACATCAGTAGTTAAAGATTGCCAAACCTGAAACCCCCCCCCCTTACCCCCATATTCTGTTGCTACATTCCAATCACGGTGACCTTCCCACAACAGCGTCTAGCTTGATCGCACATTCTAAATTGTTCATTTTGGCAGCAAACTAAGGTGATGGATATGCATATTGTTTCTTTGTTCTCTGTCTCTGGGAATAGATTTTCATGTTTAGATTGTAAGACAAATATTGAATAGTTGGTGGGAGGGGGGATTTTCTCCATAAGGGTCATTTAAACTGGCTTTTTGCTTCTGTATTCTGTCTCCCTTCATCACAGCAATACTGGCAGAGGAACACCTGATTCTCAAGAATTGAAATAAACTTTCTGTTCCTACCTTGAGATACCTCTCAGTGTTTTTTTTAGGTCGCATCCCACACAGTTTTTGGTGCATTGGCTGGGAAAGTAAGCCTCTCAGGAGTTGACCCTCTCCAAGGGCTGAGAGCAGGCGCCCACCGACAATTTTTTGGTGGCTCTCAGACTTGGGGGATCGGTCTCCCTCCTGGGCGGCAGACGTCCCAAAGAGAGGAACTCGGAGGAACAGAAACTTTAAAAAAAAAAAAAGAGCTCCAGTGGTGCAAGTGTAAAACTCCGGCTGGTGGAGAAAGAGCAGTCACGTAAGTTATACGCGTATAACCTGAGGACATGCCAGAATTTGCGGGTCTTTGGGATAGATGGAATATCCTTGGAGAGACACCGACAGGTGAGCACTCAGGTGACTGAGGGAGGGGCGACGACCCCTCCAGGAGGGCCTAAGGTGAGGTCCTGGAATAAATTTTTGAGGCCTAAGGTGAGGTCCTGGAACATTCGTAGGTCACTGACCTGGGAGGGTCCAGCGACAGCCTTCAAGTATAAATTGCCAAAATATAAGGGAAAGGATAAATTTTTGAAATGGCTAAGGAGCAGTCCAAACCCGGCACCACGGAGCAGAAAGAAGGTATACCAGAAGATAGCCCCTTAAGGGCTAGGTTTAGAAATTGGGATGAATAACCAAAAATACAGGGAACAGATTGAGTAATTGAGTACACTGTCAAAAGATAAAAAGGACAACAAAATATAAACAGGATTTGTTTTGTGACTTTGTTTCTGTCTGTGTTTGTGTCTATGTGGTGTGATTGAATGTCCATGTGTTATCTGACACCCTTTGCAGCCAGATACCAAGAATAATTTCTAAGAATGCAGCTGGATTTATTGCTTGGAAAAATGTTTTCTTTCTTTCTCTCCCCCTCTCCCTCCCTAATTACAGCAGCCTTAGAGGAACAGGTGGATGGGAGAGAGAAGGAGAGACGAATCAGGTCAGAAGTAGAAAGAAATAAGATATGTGCAGTTTTAAAGGGACTTTAATCAAACTCCATCAGAGGGGAGAGACAAGAAAGAAAAGGGGATAGTGCTTTTCTTTGGATTTGCAATTTTTATGTCCCTTCAGAGTTCAAAGCTGCCCCAGCTTTGGTAAGTGTAATTTGGGCTTGGATATTGGTTCTGGGTGACTTCAAGGGGTTTTTAAAAAATGTGAGGAAGCTTGACTCTGCTTTGAGTAGAAGAACTGAAAATGAAAATTTTCCAGCTCATTATGATTGGATATTGTTACATAAACTGGGCGTTCAATTACTTATGCTTTCTGCCTAAGGTGAGAAAATTGATTATTCAAATTGCTGAAGCCTGAGATTCTCAGGTGGGTGGCTCTATCTGATAAGTTGCTAAAAGGACTGGGGACTTTTTCTTAGTTCCTTTAAGGAAGTAGGAAAGAAAAGGAGAATTCAGAGCAGGAATTGTCACCATGTGTCTTTTTAAGGGAATACATAAATTTGTGGAAAATATTTCCCTTTAAAGGGCCAAGAGTATTGGATTTAAAACAAAATGTTTTTAGATGTTGATTGTAAATTCAGATCTGATTGGATTTAAGTTTACAGTTCTATAAAAAAAATAATAATAATAATGGTTGTTATGAAATGTGGCATTATTAATGTTAAAAGTTAAAAATGTAGTAAGAGTAATGAGTGAACATTTCTATATGTGATAATATGGAAATGCAATTGATGTTATCTGAAGTTTATTGTTTAAGTTATTATTGTATTTCTAAATTGTATTGTATTTCTAAAACTCTTAGATTGTAAAATTTGAGGGACCATCATGAGGAAGAAATGGTGTTAAGGTAATTCTTGACCTGCAGTGGGTCTTTTTAGTGATAAAGATGAGATAATTTGAAAACTGTTAAATACCTAGTGAGGTATATTTGGTTATAAGACTATGATAACAGATTTTTATTTAAAATCTTGACTATTATAAAAATATGGTGGTTTAAAGTTAGAGTCTCAACATATTAATGATGAGATGAATGATTTTTCTGTATAAAGTGACTTAGAAGTACATTCATCTAAGTTGATAATGGGTTGTATCAAAGTTTATTACAATTTGTGGAAAAGGAAGTTAAGTGTTTAGGACATTTAATTAGTTAATTAGTAAGGGAAGTAAGAAATTAGATCTGGCTAAGGTAGAAGGGATTATTCATATACCCAGACATAGGACTAAGAGGGAAGTCCGTAAGTTTCTTGGACTGGTAGGATATTGTAGAAACTGGATCGATTCCTATGCAACTCTCACTAAACCTTTATATAAACATTTATTGAATGAGGGACCAGATCCCATAGATTAAGATGAAGAAGGTAATCAAAGCTTTGAGCAATTTAAAAGAGTTTTAGTCTCTCCCCCTGTGTTAGCTTTACCATCCTTAGAGAAGCCATTTCATTTGTTTGTAAATGTAGATAAGGGAGTAGCCCTTGGAGTTTTGGCACAAATAAGAGGAAGGCAGAGGTATCCAGTAGCTTTTTTATCTAAGCTTCTGGATTCAGTAGCCAAAGGATAGCCAATTTGCATTCAAGCTGTAGCTGTCACTGCTATTCTGGTAGAGGAAAGCAGGAAGCTCACTTTTGGGGAGGAGCCTGATTGTGAGTGTTCCCCATCAAGTTAGAACTATCCTCAATCAGAAAGCAGGAAGGTGGTTAATTGATTCAAGAATATTGAAATATGAAGCAATTTTATTGGAAAAGGACTTTTTGGTTTTGGCTCAGGATCATAATGTTAACCCTGCCTCCTTTTTGAGTGCCAGCCCAGGGCAATCCAGTAATATTGAACATTGTTGTTTGGACCTAATAAACTATCAAACTAAAGTAAGGGAAGACCTTCAGGAGTCTCCGATTCCTGGAGGAATACATCTGTTTATAGATGGGTCCTCTTGGGTGGTGGAAGGAAAAAGAAAAAAAAAACGGATTTGCTATTATAGGTGGGGATAAAAATTCTTTAGTTGAAGCAGGAAGCTTGCCTAGGACTTGGTCAGCTCAAACCTGCGAACTTTATGCTTTGAATCAAGCTTTAAAATTGTTGAAAGGTCAGGAAGGGAATATATATACAGATTCTAAATATGCATGGGGAGTGGTACATGTGTTTGGTAAAATATGGG